TTGAGTTGGTGAGGTCTGAGAGCCCGAGCTTAAGCCCGAATAAACCATAAACCTTTGCTTTTGCATTTTGGTGTGTTGGGTCCTCAGTGGTCTTTTGGGGGTCCAGTGGATGAGGTACAACATAATGAAAATTTTCATGAAGGCCAGGTGGGTGGCGCTCTCCTATAATCTTAGTGCTCTGAAGGCTGAGACAAGAGAAATGCAGATTCAGGGTCAGTCTAGATATATAATCAAACTGTCTCAAAAAACAAAACAAAGTCATCGAGGGAGGCGAAAACTGGAGAAATGCCTAAATGAGTTCCTTAGAAAAGCAATGTAAAAATAATAATAAGGACTGCGAAGGGATTGTGAGTAGAGGGTTTGCCTGACATTCATGAAACCCTGGATTCCCCAGCACCTCATAAACCAGGAGCTGGGCTCACCTGTAATCCCAGCACTCAGAAGGTAGAGGCAGGAGGATGCAGAGGAGTTCAAAGTATTCCTCCAGTACATAGTGAGTTCAGGCCAGCCTTGGCTACTTGAGATCCATTCTCAAAGAGGGGGCAGTGGGAAGGAGAAGCGGTATAATTACAGTAGCATAGCAGTAGGTTGAGGGACAGAGATAAATGAACAAGCAAGTGAATTATACAAAAGACTCTAGGGGCAGCCTCTGGTCTGTACATCCTATTGTATCCTTTTAGAGCCCCCCTCCCAAGCTTCCATTATTCCAGCAGAGGTGGCTGGACATTAGAGACAGAGCATAAAATACTCTAACAAGGGGCCTGAAGAGATGGCTCTGTGGTTAAGAGCACTGGCTGCTTTTGCAGAGGACCCAGATTCAATTCCCAGCACCCACATGGCAGCTAACAACTGTCAGTAGCTCCAGGTCCAGGGGAATCTGATGTCCCCTTCTGGCCTCTGTAGGCATTACACACATGTAGTAACACTTACATACATGCAGGCAAAACACTCATACACATAAAATAATAAAAATAACAAAATATGTTTTAAATACAGTAACAAAGGGGAGGGGTGGTACACACTTTTAACCCCAGAACTTGGGAGGCAGAGGCAGGTGGATCTCTATGAGATCGAGGCCAGCCTGGTCTACATAGCAAGTTCCAGCTGGGGCTACAGAAAGACCCCATCTTAAAACAAACAAACAGTAACAAAATAAACCAGTAAACCAGTAAGATTTCTCCTACCCTTTGTCCATTCAATTATTCTATAATTATCCACAGAGTTTCATGAATGGGGGATCTAGAGTCTATGAAGCTCTGTTCATTTCTGACCACCAAGAATGCATTGATTTAAACACTCTGGGATACGCTTAAAGGGGACCAATTAGAGTTCTGTGGAGATTGCCTATAGAGGGAATAATTCATCGATGTAAAAACAGCAACAATAATTTCATGATTAAATGAGGCGGGGAAAGGTGGTCGCAACAAAATTCTCCCAACCTCCTTAGGTTCCACGAGGTTCTGTGGATACAGCCTAGCACAGGCCGCTGGGTCAGTCCAGAAAGTCCAACTAGTGGCGCCAGTGTAGCTCAAGGACCACCAAGGAACTACAAGTCCCAGGAAGCCTTGCGAGCCGAGTCCACAGAAGGAGCAGCCAAACGTGGGAATTGTGATCTAAACTCCCGCACAGAACCCGGGTTGGCACCCAGCGCATCTCACCTGAAAGTTGCCTACTATGGATGTCCCCAGAGCACAGAGGAGCCCCGACCACAGGATCAGCTGGTTATGCCACGTTTTGACGCCCCAGTCCCGGAGCTGGTGATAACGCACAATGCAGATCCAAACAGCTGGGAGGAGAGGGACATGAGTAAGGGTCTGACTCACCACAGGGTCCCCAGGAGATGGAGAGGTCATAAAGCAGAAAGAGACAGGTGTCAGGGGTAGGAGCCAAACTCCCAGATTGGAGAGAAAAAAGGAGCTGGGGATACTAGATTTCGGGAAACTGCAGGAAGGAGGGATGGGTCTCGGGGAGGAGGAACTAAGGGGCATTTCGGTTGCTTTGGGCTAGCAGTGAAGGGAATGGCCTGGAGAATATTTACCTAGAGCAGCTCCTGTGTTGAGGATTTGGCTGAAAATGCAGCTCTGAGGGGCGTAAGACCCACAGTAACTGAAGAAGATAAAGAGGTCATCCTGTGGTCCCTCCAAGTCAAGGATGGACCCTCTTCCTCCCTCCACCTTCCTCCCACATCACCCCCACAGCCATAACAACCTGATGTAGGGGAAGCCTTTCGTGAGATCCACAGTCCTGTTGGCCACAGCAATTGCAAAACTGACGTGGGAGGGACACAGGAAGTCAGTGAGGGGCTCTCAAGATTAGCTTTCCCTTCTGTTAACCAATCACGTGCTTGCCTTAACAAAACAAAGTTGGACTTCTGGCCCCCTCCTCTGTCAACAAGTAGGAGTCCAAAACCCAGCCCTCCTCCCTCAGACCCAGGAGTCCAGACCCCAACCCTCCTCCCTCAGAAACAGGAGTCCAGACCCCAGCCTCCTCCCTCAGACCCAGGGGTCCAGACCCTAGCTCTCCTCCCTGAGACCCAAGAGTCTAGACCCTGCCTTCCTCCCTCAGACCCAGGAGTCCAGACCTCAGCCTTCTCCCTGAGACCCAGGGGTCCAGGCCCCAGTCTCCTCCCTCAGACCCAGGGGTCCAGGTCCCAGCCCTCAGACCCAGGGGTCCAGACCCCAGTCTCCTCCCTCAGATCCATGTATCCCTTGGGCCCCTGTTACTTACACAATCCAGACACCAGCAATAGCCCATAGAGCTAGGAAGACTGGCAGCAAGGACAGGTAGGCCCACATGCTGGACTCTGCCCTGGAAGTAAAGAAGCCAGGTCTCACAAGTAAGGAACCAGTCCTCAGGTATATAAGGTTGAGGCCTCCTGACTCTGAGACCCCATTGGCTGGAACACAGCACTAATGAGCTGATTGATGCAGGCCAGCCCTTGTTCAGGGCACTTTTTCTTTCTCTCAGTCTTGTTCCTAATCAACTGAGTTTTCCTGTCTCCTCAGCTCTTCCCTTTTATCTGCCAGTCTCCCGGTTCTCTTAAGGTCTTCACCTCTCCAAGTTACCTTGGGTTCTCTAATTTCCTGGCGGTTTGGAGCCAGGTAATGTGTCAGGAAAGAAGGGCTGAGATTCGGGGTGTGGCAAAAGCAAAGTCCAAGCTGAGTGCCTAGAAGGTTCTGGGTCTTTGGTCTAATCAGTCACTTTCTATAGGACCTCACACCCAAACTGCCACTTCCTGTCTCAAATGTGAATCAGCAGCACCCTAACTTCACAGAGCCCCTAACTTCCTTCCACTTTGTGGGTTCAGTGTCCAGATTCCCCAGGCTGTATCCTCTCCCAAGACCTCGAAATCAGCCTCTTGGAATACTTGCATACGTGTAGCTCCTGGGGTCCAGCCACCTTTACGTACACAAATCCAGACCCTCAGTTCTGGATTCATCTATATCCAAGGCTGACCAGGATCTTCCCATCCTGCCTCAGCATCCTGGGTAGCTGGAATTAAAGTCCTAAACCTTTAGGCCAGCTGTTGGTCCTGGGTTTCTGCTTTCTGTCCCTGGGCTGCTTGATGTGAGACCCCGGTGATCCCAACTCCTTCCCTCTGATTGTTCTTCCTTTTTCTGCTCTGGCAGAGCTCCCCAGACAGGCAACGTGTACGTGGGAAAGGGAAGGCAGTGATGAAATTGCCCTCTGAAATCCCTCTTCCCCCCTAAAAACAACTACTTCCTCAGCTTTAACCATTTTCTTTCCTTCTTATTTGAAGCAGGATCTCACCATGTAACTCAGGTTGGCCTCAAATGCAAGATCTTTCTGCCTCAGCCACCCTAGTACCAGGATTAGGGACTGGGAAGACGGCTCAGTGGGTAAGAGCACTTGCTATGCAAGAGGATCTGAGTTTGAACCCCCAGCATAAAACTCAGGTTAGAAGACAACTTGCCCATAAAAAGTCAGGCATGGATGTGTGTACCTGTAACCCCAGCATTGGGGGTTATAGATACCAAGAGATTGATAGGTAGCCTCGCCTGAGGGAGAAACTTCCTGGCCAGTGAGATATTCTAATGGGAATAAGGTGGAGATCAATAAATAAAGACACCTGACATCCTCTTCGGGCCTCAGCATGCATGCACGCACCATTCACGTGCACACACACACACTCCCACACACAAATATATAAACAATAATAAAAGCCTAGCAAGATGGCGGTGGGTAAAGACACCTGCCACCAAACTTGAGGACCTGGGTGTGATTTGCAGGACTCACATCGGGGAAGGAGAGAACTGACTCCCCCAAATTGTCCTCTGACGGCAGCACTCGCATCATGGAATATTCACGTGCACACACAAATAAATAAATGTAAAATAATAATAAAATTAGCCCCCATTTTTCTTCAACTTTCTGTCTCCCCTCCCCTAGTTAGTACTCCCATGTTTGGGTCATAGCCCATCTTTCTCTGAGGACCCTGAGATCCAGATTTTATCCCCCTCCTCCTTCAGTACCCTATTTTTTTTTCTTTTCTCTTGTTTCCCTTTTTTTTTTTTTTTTTGCCTCGAAGTTTCTATATAACCAAGAATTAACTTGAACTCCTGATCCTCTTGCCTTCACCCCGGGAATGCTGGGATTACAGGCATGTACCACAACACCTGGCTTATCTGAGGCAGTGGATGGAACCCATGCAGGAGTCAATTCTCTCCTTCCACCTTTTGTATCCTCAGGATCAAACTCAGGTCACCAAACTTAGTGGCAAGCACCTTTAATCCCAGCACTCAGAAGGAAGAGGCAGGCAGATCTCTGTGAGTTCAAGGCCAGCCTGGTCTACATAGTAAGTTCCAGGCCAGCTGGGGCTTCAGGAAGATCCTGTCTCAAAAAAGACAATCAAGTTCACTATCCAGGGGCATTTTGTATATTCACAATGTGTGTCACTACCACACACCTAGTTCATAAATTTTTCTTTACCCTAAAAGGAGACTCTGTGTTCATGAAGCCACCATTGCCCACTAAGTCCTTGCAACCAGTAAATATTTTCCATCTGTATGGATTTACATACTCTGGGCTGTTCATAGAATTTGAATCCTATCCTACATAGTCTTTTGTGTCTGGTTTCTTTTGCCTTTATACTGTGTTGCTTTTTTGTTTTAAGATTAGAAGAGAGGGCTGGAGAGATGGCTCAGCAGTTAAGAGGTCCTTCTTCCAGAGGACCCAGGTTTGATTCCCAGCACCCACATGGTAGCTAAAAACTGTTCATTAACTCCAGTTCCAGGGGATCCGAGCCCTCTTCTGGCCTCCTCAGGCTTTGCATGACAGGGGTGCATTTACACACATGCAGGCAGTACACTCATACACATAAAATAAAAATAATAAATATTTTCTAAAAGATTAAAAGAATTTTTAAATTTTGTTATGAGTATGTTGCCTGCATATATGTAGGTGTACCATGTGCATACAATACCCTTGGAGGCCAGAAGAGTCAGATTCCTTGGAACTGGAGTTATGGTTGGTTGTTAGCTACCATGTGGGCGCTGGGAACTGAACCCTGGTCTTCTGCAAGAGCAGCCACTGCTCTTAACCATTCAGCCATTACTCCAGTCCCAGAATTTTTTTTTTTACTATTACTTTTAATTTGTGTCTATATCTATGTATGCCACATGTGTGTGGGTGTCCTCAGGGGCCAGAAAAGATCCCCTGGAAATGGAATTACAGGCAACTGTGAGCCTCCTGACAGGGGTGCTGGGAACCAAAATCAGGTCCTCTAGAAGAGCAACAAGTGCTCTTAACCACTAAGTCATCTTTCTAGCCCCTATACTGTGTTTTTGTTGTTTGTTTAGACAGGGTCTCCTGTACTCCAAGTTTGTACTCCAAGCTGGCCATGAACTGGATATGTTACAGAGGCTGACCTTGAACTCCTGATCCTTCACTTCCCAAGTGCTGGGATTACAGGTCATGCCTCAGAACACCTGGCTTTTTATACAGTTCTTGAGGTTTATCCGTGTTATTATGGTTTGTCTTTGTAAAATTTATGTTGAAGAAATTTAATCCTTATTATGCGATATTAAGGGAGGATGAGGATGTGGCTCAGTGGTAGAGCAGTTGACTAGCATGCACAAGATCCTGGGTTCAATCCCTGCTACTGGTAAAAGCTGATTAAGGTTCTCCTCTCAAGACTGGATTCATTCACTCACTGGATCAGTGGTTTAATGGATTGTCTTAACTGAAAGCTAGTTGGCTAAATCTCTGTGAACTCCGTTTCCCACCTTGTGTTATCTGGTACCACCTCTGAACTTGGCTGGTAAGAAACCAATACCAGATGTAGCACCTCAACATCAGACCCAAATAAACTGCTCCCCTTTAAAACTTACCCAGTCTGTGGTATTGTGTCACCACCAACAGTAGAACAGGAGCTGAGATACATGTAGCATCCTTTTTATGGCTGTGTAATATTCTACTGACTTGGCCTCTTTGGAAATCTCAGGAGTTCTAGGCCTTGAATTCTACAGGATCTCTGGTGTCTCAGTACCTAGGACTTTAGGTTCTGTTGTGTGAGAGATGTTTCCTGGGGAGACAAAACACACATACTCACTCACACATTGACACACATGTCATTATCCCAGAAAGGGAGCCCACACAAAGTAGTGACTGCACCAAAGTCCAACTTGGTAAGCCAGAGTTTTTATTGGGGTTACTAACAGGAGTATGGGTGAAAGGTTACATTCAGGAGCAGGGTTGACTCAAAAGCAGGTATGTCACTGATACATCCACCCCGACATGGGTGACCACTCAAGAAAGCTGCAGCCCTAGAGCTGTCTGCACAACCTGTAGACAGCTCAACAGTCTGAGCATCTCCCCTCTGCTGCTCAGCTGGTCAGAGTCTCCTGGAGAACTGTTTTCAGTTTTCTGCTTCTATAACTCTGAGCACCGGCCCTTTCGTATCTTGCAAGCTTCTTGACTCTTTTCCAAACGTGGAGTTTGTTTGCCTCCTGAGTTTCGTGTGACTCCCACAATCCAAATACAAAGTACGAACAGAACAGGACAAGACCCAGGCCCCTCAGTTGGGCATGGTGATGCACAGCTGCAATCCCAGCACTGTGGAAATGCAATCGGGAAGTTGAGAAGTTCAAGGTCATCCTCAGGACTCTGTAGAGAGTTCAAGGTCAGCCTGGTCTACATAGTGAGTTCAGGTCAGCTGGGGCTACAGGGAGACCCTGTCTCAAAAAGACCAAAAAAAAAAAAATTATTGGAGCAGGGTGTGGTGGTGCATGTCTTTATCCCAGCACTCAGGAGGCAGAAGCAGGTGAATTTCAGTGAGATCGAGGCCAACCTTGTCTGTAGACCTGGTTCAAGGCCTGCTGTGGCTACAAGGAGACCCTGTCTCAAAAAATCAAAACAAAACAAAATATTGGGGGTGGGATGTTAACCTGATGAGGTGGCTCAGAGCATAAAGGTATTTGTCACCCAAGTCTGGTGACCCAAGTTCTATCTCCAGAACCCATGCACATGGCACGGATCCATGCACATCATATATACACAATAATATGTGCATGGGCCAGGCATGGTGGCACATACTTTTAATCCTAGCACTGGGGAACTCTGTGAGTTCCAGCCTTGTCTACATAGCTAGTATGTAGCCAGACCAGCCAGAGCTACACAATGAGACCTTGTTTAAAAAATACTACAACACACACACACACATAGACACACACAGACACAGACAGACACACATATGCATATATATGCTGGGGAGACAGGTCAGTAGGTAAAACACTGGATCTGAGTTTCGTTCCCAAACCTCACAAGAAAAATAAAGCAAGCTTGTGGGGTAGCAGTGGGCAGTGGGCATGAGATGGGGAGAAGGCCGTGTGAGAGTGCTAACAACCAAAGCTGACGACCTGGGTTAGATCCCTGAGACCCACCTGGTAGGAGTGAGCTGATTCCCACAGGTGTCTTCTGACTTTCGCACATGTGTCATATGCACACACACACACACACACATGCATATATTCAAATAAATAGATAAATAAGTAAATAAATGTAATAATAATAATAAAGGCTGGGCGTGGTGGTATGGCTATAATCCAGGTGCTGGAGAAGTAGAGACTGGTGGATCCCTAGGGCTCCCTGGCCAGCCAGCCTAGT